GTTGAATATATTTTCATTTTGAATCCTTGAGTTATAAATTGCTGAAGAAATTTGAAAAAATAATATAATTTTAATTCTTATTTGAATTTTACAGAGTTTTTTTTATACTTGTATAATATATACATTAAATATCATTAAAAATGTACTCCATTATCTTAATTTAATAGGTTAAATTTAATTCATTATGTGGTTGTATTTATTTTTGTGTTCCGAGTTATGATGGTGCTTTTAAATATAGGTAAGATTTTGTTTATTTATTTCTGATTAACCTTTTTTTTTAGACTAGTTTAAGTTAATGAAATATTTTACTATGATGTGTAATGTAGAAAAGGTTTTTCTATCACTCAGTGATAATACCTCAAATATCCACTTGTGGTTAGTGTGATACATTAGTGTATGAACAAGTCTTTTTTTTTTTATTTACATTAAGTTCAATTTTAGAATAAGTCCATAACACACATAACGTAATAATACCATTGAACAGTATAACACACATTTTACATAGATAGGATTAAACACGAGAGTTATAATATCAACCATCACATATTATAAAATTGCGCGGTCAAAAAAGATCATGTAAATAAATCGGTACGGTACACTCTAAGAATTGGTACATATTATGAGAATAATAATTAGGTATACACTCTGTGTAATCTATTTAAAATATCGGTTTAAAGTTCAGACCGATTATGTGATTAAGTTTTATAGAAACCAATACGTAGTAGAAGCGCATTTAACACAATTTCGTTTGACGGCGATCCGACATTATATGTGTATATAAAATATGCTATCATCTGATTTATTCAATACACCCATACTGACTTTACGAGTGACCATTACTATCATAATCTCTAAAATTAAAAATGGCTGCATAAGTTTAAAATTATTATTCAGTACTATAGACGATAGTTAATATTAGGTATTCCATCATAAAATATTTTAAAACGTTAATTCAATGTTAGAGATTTATAATCGCCACATTAAAATGTACTGACGGTTTTTTATGTGATATTTTATAAATGTTGGTAATTTGTTAAGTACCTATCAATTATTATCTGTAAAATAGGGTAAGTAAAATTACACATCATATACTCGGCAACATTTTAAACTGTACCTATACAACAGATATAAAGTGATATAAATTACGTCATAGTTATTAAAACATACTATATTGTGTAATGAGTATGCTCTAATTAATTGTTTAAATTCTATTTGTTTTGATAGGCATATTACACGTTACTTATAAATAACAAAAGCTATTAGGGTGATTAAAAATTAATTGCTGGTTCATGTATACTATAAGATCTAAAAACTTCGATTTATGGACGAGAAATAATTTATCAGGATATTTTTAACCAAAATTTTTGGACGTTACAACAAAATATGTTCAATAATATACAAGTAAGTTAGTTAGTTATTGGAATTTTTCAATCATAAATATCGTATTATAGTTTGACATAAGAAGATAGACAAAGTAAATAATCTACGAAGATAACAAATGATTATAATTTAATGCGATTTTTCAAATCAAAATAACATAATTAAACGTACAAATGAACTTATATAGTTGGCACCTAATAGTAAATTTGATAAAATATAATACATAAGACTACTATTATTTATCTTATAATATCTTATCTTTCATTCTTACATCATATACTGCAGTAATAAGCAATTTGTGCCTCATTTCCAAATCTCTATGCCATCGCCAAAAGTTTAGTCTATTTATAAATGACTGATCAGTGACTGATTTAGGTTATTAATTATTTTGTATATTAAACTGGCAAGTTGGCGAAGTAGTTAACCTAATACTTAACCTAACTTATTAGCAAGGTGAGAAATTACTTAAGTGGTAAATTGAATTAGACTGGGATAATTCATATCTCTTCTCCGCGGTAAAAAATACTACCCTGTAATGTATTAATCATAAACTTTTAATAACAGTTAAAACAAAATTTTTAAAGTTGTTTTAGTCCATCAAAACGAGGAAATTGATAATTTAGTATAAAGGAAATTACCTATCTAATAATTAAGTATTATTATTTTGAAATAAAAAAAATACACATATTTCCTACACTCTACATATTATTATGACTTAACTAAGAATTTTTATGAATTATGAAATTAGTATTTGATAACAACAAAACATTTTTCACGATTTCGTAAATCGATAACTGTAGATTTTGATAAGCATTTATGTGTAATATAAATACATGATTCCGCATGATGAAATAAATGTGGAGTTATCGTACCAAAAAATATAAATCTAAACAATGATATTAATGTGAGTCACAATTTTAACGTAAATCGTATAATGCAATTGACTCTTCCGCCATCATAAAAATAAATGAATAACTGAGGTAGGTAGTTATTTAAAAAATTATTCAGAAATGTGTAGAACTGTAACAAGTTTTCTTTTCTAACAATCATGTATACTATTGGAGTTATCGTATTTAATACTCTGACTTTGAGTCAAGATTTATTTTACATTAGTAATAATTAAAAAATAAAAAAATAATATAAAAAAATTAACATATTGGTTTATTTATCAAAAAATAATAGAGCCTCAATGCCTCATAACATAATGAAAAATAGTACTCAAACTATATATCAAGTATTACACTTACAATTACATGTGTTTTCGAAGGATGAAATGGGTGTAAACTACTGGTTTCAAAGGGAAGCTTATTTATAAACTATAATAATTATTAATTTTTGATAAGTATAGTGATTTACTGGTTTATTTAAATATTTAAATACTAAGACATTAAAATATTTAATTGAAAATATATATAAATATTATTTAAACAGGCCCGTACTCGTCCACTAGAACACCGAGAATTTTCCCAATGCGCCCCATAATCAATTAGTGTCCCTCTATCCCTTATTTTTATATAATTATAATATTTATTATAGTGCACCTATTTTATATGTATATATAAACAAATTTTATATTTTGTAATTATTATATACGTGGGTAGGCACATTTATGTAAATAATTGTTTTGTTGTAATTTATGATATTTTAAATTATAGAACCTTAGAGGTAACTTGTGAATTTGAACATCAAAATTGATAATAAACATGTAGATGCATTGATGAATGCTTTTATTTCGATTTATCTTTCATTTTTATTTTAATAATACCATTTTATCATAATGGAAAATAGTATCGTCTCATTTGTTCGTGAGCCATATCGACGCGGTAGTTCTCATACGTGATACGATTTACTTTCTGTAAGTATATATAAAATTATTTAAGAGATAGTTCTAATAAAATATGTTATTTTTGTCATATGCCCATATACTAATGCAAAATATATGAAAAATTTAGTACCTAGTACCTAGGTACCTGAACTTTCTAATTGTATTTTAGTAAAATGATCTGCCTAAGCTAAAAATCAGAAGTTAAATACCTATTATTTCTAAAAGATATTTAATTTTAATTTCATTATAACTCACAACATTTATAAAATTGTTAAAAACATTATTTTTAACTATAATATTTACCTGTCAATTACATAACATGCTCGTTAACACAACACAAGCGTGTCATATAATATCATACCTATGCCTGAATAGTGTATAGGCAATTACAATACCCATAGTCGGGTAATATTGATGATAAGTATTGTACTATTGCCGTATTGTTGTTGGTGATGGTGTCACGGTCATCACGATTCATACGAACACGCAAAACTTGTGATCTATTAAAAATGTAAAGTATAATATCTTTAATGAATCGTACAATTATTATTTACACTTCAACAATTATTACTTTTTTCAAAAATCGGTTATAACTTATAATCAATAAAAACTAATATTAATTCATCAATATTATGGTTATGTGAATTTCGGTCGTCGATAGATGATAGTATATATTTAATGTAAACAAAATTAAGGCAGGAGGGCATTAATATTAGTTTGTTAGTAATTTAATTTACTAATCAACTTAATTACTTAGTAATAATCATCTACGATGATTTAAAATACAAAATATAAATATTTCAAGGTTTCAAATCGCTAAAACTATTATGTGACAATAATAGGAAGCAAGAAGCATAACACAATGACATTTCTATGTTTAAGTCGATAATATTTAAAAAAAAATTGAAAGTTGCAAAATCTTAATATGTGTTACGCGGGTGGTAATGAAAAATAACAATTACTTCTTTTAGACCAATAGTTTAGTTAATATTTATCTCCATATTGACTTTAAACTCTTTGAGTTAAAATAATATTGTTTATTAAATAATGTTGACGTTAACATTTGACTCAATTTAATCAATTCGAGTACATTTTTGTCATAACTTGCCCATTTTTGTTTGAAATTCCGACGACACATAATATGTATGTACGTTATTTTTCAAACATCATACATAATATTCTGTACAGAATAATTCGAATACATCAATAACATCATCAAGATTCGTTTCTTAGGCATAAAATCGCATCATATCGTCATAATGTTTCGCCACTTGCAAGTGCCCTTCGGAGGATATTCGGTAGTTTTACCTAACGCACATTACAACGAATCGACACACCATCGTTAAATAATATACAAGTGGTACGGATCTCCTTTGTTCGATTACCGGGTATCCAACAAGTGGGAGCAAGACTGGCGCTGAGCAATCTCACCGTGTACGACCTACGTCTCTGCACACCACCTGGCCGGCGTACCCACCTATTCCATTGCCGAGACCTGGGACTCAAGACCGTACACAATGACTTGGAACCTAACAAACGGTCGTGATTCACTGTGTCTTCAACGTGCCGCCGTCTCTCGGCCACCTGTTCCACCTGCTCGCGGATCTCACCCCCCGTCACCAATGCAATCAGACATTATACACCCGAAGTCCCGAGGGTGGCACATCGCGACTATGTATTGTATATATACCTAACAGAGAATTCAAAACCGTGTTTAATTTCGGTTTTGACGCAGTATACTGTATAGAGCGTCGGACAGAGTTTTTAGTTTTCTTCGATTCGTGTTTACGAACGGTGTTTGAGGGTGGCGATTTTGTATAAGAGGTTGGACAGGTAGGCTGAAAAATAAATAATACATTGTGCCACACCGTCGATCACGTGTGGTATCTGCGCGTCGCCGACATCAAGATTTTTCAAAACTCGCGTTTCACAGTCTCGTGCGCGTCTAAAAATAAACTAGGTACACGACGGGCGAGTTCACGAGACGATAAGAGACATATTATAAGTCTCCCTCGCAATAGTCGCAATACGACCGCGCGTGTACACCCGCGATTGTGGAATATTATTATTTATTGACGATATCGTCAATACCGCTACGGTCGTATACGTTTGTTTGCACACGCGGGTCCTCCGAAGCGGATCGGTAAAAATACACCTGGAAATAATCGCCGCAGACGTCTAAACTCGGATGCGAAACCGATTTGTTTCGCGTTTAAACGTTATCTCCGGCGCGTGTACGAGTACCTGCCACGGCCGTGTAAACGCGTCGTACATCGGATCTGTTTTGTCGCGGTTATGTGCCGATGTCAAATCGTTACGACGTGATAAAATCGTAATAAAATAATTTATCGTGTCGGCCGTCGCAGATCGCCATCGTTGTCGCCGTCACCATCACCACCACCACCACCACCACCATCAACCGAAACGTGTGCGTTTACCTGAAACACGATAGACCATATCGAATTATCAATAAAATATATTATTATTATATACTTTTATGCGTCGGAAGCCCCAGCCAAACGGGCTGACGGTCCGGCGGGGGTACGGTATCCAACGTCGACGACGGGGTACGACGACCTACGGACCCGCGGTGTGTCTGGTGGCCTGTCATCGTTGCAGCAGACGGCAGTACATCATCGCATTAGTCGTCAGTACTCACTACTCAGTAGTCGGTCATTCACCACTCGTCACTCGCCCGTCGCGTAGTCGCCTTCACTGTCAGCCGGCCAGGGATTCGTGCATCCCCGCGAAATACATCATCCGTGTCCGCGTTCCCGAGTGACGAGTGTGTTGTTTATTTGAATTCGTGTTCATCGGACCGGCAGACGGACGACGACGACACGATTCACAAATTAAATAATATTCTACGAGTATACATCAAAGCGTCGTTAGGTAGGTATTTATTGTAAACCGCAATAAATTGTCAACATTCTACACCACTGGTCCCGACGGTAGCTATTCGACATTAAAATCGAAAACTTTTTTACCGTTCCTGAGAAGTCCGCAGCAGCCAATAGCAACAGCAGCAGCAGAACTAACGTGACACGGTCTTCACCTGCATTGCTAAACTTGGTGCATACACGGTAGTAATAATATGGTAAGTGACCATTGCTTACTTTCCAGGCAGGCGATCACAGATGTGTTTGTTGCGTTTTCTTCTTGACCACATGATGCGTCGTCTTTAAAAATTAAAAAAAAAACGATTTGTTCTATTTGGCTTGCATCGAATATTGTATTTTCGAATTAGTTGTCGCCCAAAAATAGACAATATTGTTTTTGTAGCTTTGTAGACGGTTAAATTGAATTTTTCGTTTTATTAGTGGTTTAATAATGTTTTTATTATTTTCCATACTACAAGATATATCTTAATATAATGTAATGTTGAATGGTTTAATTTATGAATAACTGTGGGACTGATTTAATTTTTATTTCAGGCATTGAATCATCAAAGACACACTGATAAATGGTGGGAAACAGAGTATAGTGACAACATACATTCATATTTACAGTACCATGAAGTCAAGTGGAGGATGGTCTATGGAGCCAGATCACCACAAGTAATGCATACACCTACTATAATATAATGATAGTATTTAAACAAACTCTATTTTATTATTGTTTAGATTCATTTGCGACCAGTGTTGTTAAAAACTATTAGAAATATAGCCAAGACATGTGAAATGTCAAATGTATGTGTTCATTTGGCTGTCACCCTAATGGATTTATTTATGGATAACCATGATCTAAAATTTGATACTATTATGCTAGTCTCGTTTGCGTGTTTAACATTAGCTGGTAAGTGCCTTTGTCACCATTTTTAACCACCAGTTTAAAGCTAAATGAAATTAATTTTATTTCCATAGCAAAAATTGAAGAACATTGCTTAAAAATACCAAAATTAAACACCATGCAGAATGTTATAAGCAAAGATGTAACAAATTCACATTTTCGTAAAGTAGAGATGAAAATTTTAATGTTTTTTGAGTTCAATGTTGCAGTACCTACAGTTGCACATTTCATCGAATTTTATAAAGACCATTTTTACTGTGATAGTGATTTTTATCATAATGAATTTGCAAGTATTTTAAAAGATAAATTCAATAGAATGATTCTATCATATCAGGATGCATCATTAGAAAGTTAGTATTCTGTATTGATTGATTCCTACATATTTTAATGATTTACTTGTTACATAATATTGTTTTTAAATACATATTTTACGTGTTAAGTTTAAAAAGAACGGCTATGGGCTATTTAATATGTTTAAATTTTTGAATTTTTATAACTTTAATTAATTAGTATAAGTATGTTTTATATAGGATTAGATTAAAATCAATATTAATTTTAGTGTGATAACCTTTAAATTTAACCCATGTTTGTTTCTTATAAATTTATTGCGTTTATTTTAATATAATATGTTAATGATTCATATTATATGTTATGTACAATTTTTTTAATGTATTACATTATTTGATATAAAATTAAACGCATTATAAATCTGTTTGTCATTAAAACAGCATACCAATATCATATCCCCCATTTATCACGATATACAGTAGCAAATTTCCAAGGTTGCTTCTCATACTAAATAGATTATATTATTCTAAATTTAAAATGTTCATATCCAATTTTTTTTTTTAATATCTTTATTGATGAGAAAAAATAGGTTTATTTAGAGTAATTAATTTGTGCCATTTATCTACAAGTTGTCCTTAAAAATTGAAAGATAAAACTAACTAATGGTTAATTAACTATTTAAAGCTACTAAAGATGTGTATCTGAATATCTTTAAAATATGCTTTAGTGATAATAGTTAAGTATGTATTATGTAATTATATTTAAATTATTTTATGTTTGTATGTTTCAGGCATAAAACTTATATCTTATAATCCATCAATGGTTGCCGCGAGTATTATTTTAACTACTAGGCATTCATTAGGATTGGTACCATGTTGGACTGCACAATTACGAAAAGTGACAGGATACTTAAAAAAAGATCTTGTGCAGTGTTGTTCTCTATTAGGGTATTTTTTTTAATTAATTTTATTATACATTTTATTTAGTGATTTTTATTTTAACATGTGTGAGATTGAGGTTGGGTTTATTATTTTGATAAACTTGCTAAATTGACACACGAAATAAATTATTTCAAGTGGACATCAATTTTTTCTATAAAACTTGTGTTAATATTTTTGATTTTTATTATTGGTATTGTCAATTTGAGTTTTTATATTTTTATGCTTACCAATTAAATGAATGACTTATTTATTTTATTTCAATAAATGGTATAATCGTAATTTAAAATAATTTTTCTTTTGATTTTTCAACCAACATTTCTATCTTATGTTTAATTTATAATCGTAATTACTAACTAAAACATTATTTTGCAGAAGAAATGTAATGCAGCACAGAAAGTTTTTGCCAATAGATGAAGGATATCTTAGTTCTTCTCCACGTTTTCAATCTCCAATTATCATGGCAAGTAAAAAAAAAAGAAGTCACATTGATGTACCAAATGTAATTTTATCAAAACGAACAGCATTCTAAAACTTTTACAACTGTGATAAGTTATCCTATATTTATTCCTATCTTCCTACTTGTGTCGTTTCACAATGCCTATCCTAAGCTATTTATTTGTTTCTACTGTTAAAAAAATATATTGTGATATTTATTCATAAAGCTCAATTAATTTTATGAGACTGAATTCTATTTTGTTTTATTGGGTAATTTATATTTATTATTATTTTTTGTTATTGTTATAAACTTTAATTTTTATTTATTTATATTTATTTGTTTGTGTAGATAAAGTAGTTAAAAATGTATTCGATCATTTATTATGTAATTGTCAAAATTTCGAATTCCAAAATGCTAGATTGAATATAATTGTAAAATACAATTATGTTAACTAAACATGCATTTATTTACTTTTTCATAATTGACTGATTTCCTGTAATGTGTGTAATTCAAAGCTATAATTAGGGGGGGGGAAGGATTTTTTTAACAAGTAACCAAATTATAGTATGACCATATTTCAAGAATAATTTTATATTATCGCTTCAAGTATGAAGACTAGGTATACCTAAGCAAATAAGTACTTAATTATTTAAATATTTTTTAAAATAAGTATTTGGTTATATACTAAATATTATAATTAGGTACATTTAAACATTTCAGTTTTAAAACTTAAAATTATTTTATTACCTAGATATTTTGTATGATAAAATCGTTTAGCTTCTGTATTCTTAGGTTTGGATTAAGCAAGGTTGCTAGATTTTGAAATCCCCAAACTAGGACAACACAATGTTGAACAGAGATTGACTTTTTTTGATGTAACACTTATAAGGAAATAAGTACATCCTCTTTTTATTAATTAATACAAAGATAAATTATTACGTATTAGTGATATATCATGATTGTTTATTATAAAAATATGATAATATACTTTTTATTATACTTAAAATTTAAAGATTCAATGTTCATATTTTCTCTTTGCTTCTATCAACTAAGACAAATTGAATGACTGGCCAGGATATTGGTATATATCTAAAACCGGGGCTGATGATGACAAGCCTAGAATTAAGGTAAAAAGAATGTAATCATGTATACTATCTATGTTATAATTTAGTTAACAAAATACTTATCATTTATTTTTGATGCATTTCTTATTGTTTGAACTTTATTAAAAATAATATTGATTACAAATCTACTAATAAAATTTACCCAAAATCATAAGTTACCAACATTTAGATGATTGTGATAACTCAAAGAATATTATTAATAGATTATATTTAGTGGTCATTTAATTTAGTTAGGAAAATTCTGAGCACGATTTTATAAAATATCAGTTATAACTTATACTCCCAATATTCTTAGTTTTATCATATACATAAACATATATACATTTGTATGTAAATAAAAATAATTATATAATATATTACATACATTGTAGGTCAATATTTGTATCAGTAATTGAATTAAATTATCTTCTGGGAGAATTTAAGAACATATATTTTTTACTTCAGGAAAAAATATTGTAATATCAGCAAGAAAAATAGCAAATTATTTTTGTCTAACCCCACAAAGTAAAACAGAGTTATGCAATTTACGTGTTATAGCTTCATTGATAAACATTTAATGCACCTATTTCAATGATAAATGGCACACACAATAGCAAAATATAGAAATTTTTTGCTCATAAGCGTACTAACTCTGAATGCTCAAAATTTCGGGAATCCTGAAAGACTGTTATTTTTGACATATGAAAAGCAAAAACCTTAACGTCATGCATTCTTTTGTATAATATAGGTTCTAATCATTTTAAAGGGAATTTTAGTTTTTAAAAATGTTTTTACATAGTCAGATAACCTTCATGTTCATAAACTAAATTCATTATCTGAATATTATGAATTTATATTCTAGCCATGTTTAGAATACTTATCTGCAAATAGTTGGATAAAAGTTATAAGCATTTTTCAATTGCTCTTTTATTCTTCCTGGGAATAGTCCTGATTACTGAATTTGGGCTATTAATCATTATTAATAATTAAAACATTCCAATGTTCTTTTTTAAACATTTTTATTAAAAACTTGTCTCGGTAGAATAAACTTAATACATTCCTTAAAAGATACTCATAGGCATAGCAAACTAAAAGTTACAAAAATAACATCATCAATAAAATTGTGTTCTGTTATTTATAAAAAATAATTTCTCAACACTTATATGAAACAGATATTATTACATGGAAAATTGAATAACTAAAATTATTTTCAAATCCTATTGTAACATCAAATTTCTTATTTCACAAGTATGCACATTTATTGAAAATGAGTAATTTTATTTTTTATTGTGATAATCAATTAATATTTTTTGAAAATAAATATTATCTGATTTTTAATCAAAGAAAAAAATTCAAATTTAAATCAAAATAAAATAGTGATTAAAACAATTTGATGAAGAACACATAAATATAAATTAATCAAATAATCACAATGGTTAAAAGGTATGCCTTGTTGCATCCTTATAACCCAGGGTTTTAAATTTACTTAATTCTTAAAATTTCAAATAGCATAGACTATAGAGACATAACTATACTAAGTGGTTTATTTGAAAGTCTACAGGGACCATAGTATTATGCAAGTTAATGTTTATATCGTAGTAGACTACAAGAATTCAAAAAAATATTTAAGGAAAAATCAAGAGTTTTTTGCTGATTAATAGTTAGACAAATATAACAATTAAGACTAGTTCAGAGGAGAAGGAGAACAGTAGAATAATTGAAAAACATTTTGTATTCAAATATACTCGAAAATGTGCCAGAATATAAGAATAAGAATAAGAATTTAAAAGATATTCAGATCAATACATAAATACATATGCAAATCAAAAATTTAATTTTAAAACTCCGGAACTTAGTGATTTAAGTGATTTTTCTGTTATTTCAAATATAAATAAAATATTAGAGACACACAATTAAGTCCAATAGCAAATATAAAAAATTCAAATAGATGAATTGTGAAAAAAAAAATTACAAACATTATTTTACTATAATTTTTGTTTGTTAAAAGAAAAATCGAAGTGCAACAAAATGCCAAATCAATAAAAAGTCCTGATATTCAAAATGGGGAAAATACTGTTTTCAGATTCTATAAAATCTAAGAACTTTAGAATCAATAAAATTAATTCAATTACTATGAGTTAATTTTATAAAATTAATGTTTTTAATTAATTATTAAATTATCAATTACTGATACCATTAATCCAAATGATTAATGTTCAAGTAATTTTAATTTTATTTGTTTCACCATACTAAAGTTGATAGAAAATAACTAAATAATTAAATATTTTTTTTATTGTTATTATTATCATTAATAGTTCGACATATAGTTGAATTGTACTTTCGTTCAAATCATATGCTTCCATTCATTAATACAATTTTTATACATAAATATTAAAATCTATACTAGTATAAATGTAATACACTCCTTCCCCTTAAATTCAAAATTTAATTTTTTTCTGAACTCATTGCTTGAGCAGCATCTGCAAGTGTTGAAAGATTATCAGGTGGTACTTCTGTATTTGTATCATTAATAGAATGCTGTTCTTCTTTTTCGATTAATTCAGCTGCAGCCTGTAAAGATGCTAATCCTGGACTATTTATTTCATTGACATCTGTTCGCATGTGGCGGTGCTCTGTACGTACTTCAAATGTATGTAATGGTAGCTGTTCAAGCCATAATTGCATACTAGAAAAAAGACTTAAGGTTTGTTTACATATGATAATAATTAATATTTTTTTGTGATATATAGTTGTCGCATATTGAAATAGATTAAAGGGATATTCAAGTATTTCTATAGCACTATAACAAATTAACTATTTATTTAATTTTACACATAATTTATAATTGTGATGAATAGCATTCATTATAATATTTTAAAGCCTAAAATCTAGACTAGTTATTTAATAATAATTTAAAAATTAAATAATATTTTTGTCAAAGGATACGAGCTTTCTTCTTTTTCTACTTTGATAATGGTTGGTAGTATATATTTAGCTCTAAATTCAGATACTTGATCATTAAGCTCAACAAAATCTAAACGCTCATGCATACCATCATTACCAAATTTTTCATTATATTTATCATAATGCACTTCTTCTAATACCAAGCCTAAACCTGGAGCAATAGGTAAATCAAGACGATCAGGTTGCCATGAGCGTTCTATCACATCATGTTTGGCTACACCTCGGCAAATAGCAATAATAACACCAACCATTTTACGAATCTGATGAAGCATAAAACTTTGTCCTAAAACCAAATAAAATAAAATATATTAACACTCATTCAAATAACAAAATATTATCCTAAAATTTACCTCTAACATACAATGATATTAATTCAACACCATCTTTTTCAAATGGTTTATCACAACTAAAACTAACCATGTACCTTTGCGCACTTGGATCACCAGGTTTTCTGAAAATAATCAAATCCAAATTTATAATTGTTAACATATTAAGTATTCATAAATTAAAAAAATTGTTTAATTTATTATCTTTTGAATTTACTTTTTAGAAGTGTAGTTATGATAGTTGTGGCACCCTAAGAAACTCTTAACAATTTCATTTATTCTATCAATAACAATGGCATCAATCCGATAATTAAAATCAATTGTAGCTTCTGCTGGTGCAAAAGCAAAAGTTGGACATGTGTATGAATATGTTCGTCCATCACAGGAATTTTTACTGTTGAAACCTTTGGTTACTCTTCTGATATCTAGAACTCTGATTTGCTCTGGTAATGCTGAATTAATAACTTGTTTATCTACTTCTTCGGCTGAAATGATAAGAAATATACAATTTAAAAATAAATTTAAATTTAATATAATTTCAATAGTTAAAATCAGCATATTAGACTAAAGCACTAAAAAAAAAACATACTTATAAAAATAAAAATATAATTTTTTTAATTAAAATGTATCCTCTGAGTTTATATTATAGTTTTAATTTTTAAAATATAGTCAGGATGTACTAAATTTTATTCTAAAGCAATCATTTTTATAATGCATTACCGATATATTAATTATTGAATTACATAATATATAATTAAATACTTGCATTCATAACAAAATTGAAAAACAAAAATTGATAAAAATTTCTGCATGAAACAATAATATTATGTAACATGTACTATATAAATTTTTCAGTT